AAAAGAACGTGCAACTGGTAATCCAACAAAATCAACATGCAATCCACTACCAAAACATGATAATCATAAGAATTCGTAAATCAATCGGGTAACGAAATCATGCAGCTAGCGATCAGAATAATCATCCAAGTCACAAGGTCATACAACTAGATGAAATTAATATTTAAAAATATATACAACTCGAGACGTAGTACGTCGAGCGAAATAATCCAAACAAGGAAACTCTCATGTATGTACCATATGTCTCAAATTACAGATAATTAAATATTAATCCCGATCTATGTATGAAAAGAAACACAACTGACCTACATCTCATACAAGAATCATACTTAGCCAAGAATCGAGGTCATGTAACTAACCATCTTATCTCAACTCACTGGTCCACATCTCACATAGAGTTAACACTCATATCATCGGATAACTGACTGTTCACAAATCCTCTACGTGCACCCAATACGCCGCTATACTGGATCGGTCAGAGGGCTACACGCAATCCGTTTTCACCCTGGTTCAAACTCAAGCAAAACCCGGGTGAATATCAAATTCACGGACCAAAGTGACTACACTGGCTTCATTTTGACCCAACAAACTAACCCCAAGCTACACTGGATCATGGGGTGAGCCTGGAAGATACATCAATAGTTATATCCGATCACATGAACATGGACTTCCCCATCTCAACTCTTCTTGTTTGTCTAAATCATCAATAGGATTCAACTGTGTTCCACGAGTTCAAGACATTCGGATCATCAACGAGAAGCAAACTCGACGCGAGCATTCGAGGGAGACATCTCATCACTACCGTGAAGAACCCAGACTTAAACAAAGGGGAGGATCTCCGCCAATCTTTTTCTCTTTTATAAATCGGTATTCCGATACAAGAAGATTATAATTTCTTTTTCTAAGTTAGTTAGAGAGAAATTATATTGAGAGAATTATATTCATTCTTTATCTAAGCCAGATAGAGAGATAATACAATAAATCATATTCTCAATTGTCTTCTTCAATTTTCCCAACAAACAGGGTGCAAGAGGAGGAGCCCTAGAACTAGATGGTCGAGATGAAGATGCATGACCAGAAGGAGCAGTGGAGACCTGGGGATGAGATAGATAGGATTCTAAGAGCCCCATCCTGATAAGAGATGTACGATCAACAAATTCACAACTAGGTTCAACATTGGGTTCATATGAGAGATCGACTCCATAGTGAGTGATGAGCTTGGTGATGAGAATGCCAAAAGGGAAAAACTTAGTGTGGGTACCAGACATAATATTTAAAAGACCTTGCCCTAATTGACCTTGATTTTGGCAAAGATGGAGTAAACAACAGCCACCTTATTTGGGGCGAAATGATCATAGCTTCTAGTCTTAGGGATTAAGTTGTAAGCTATGATTCTAGCAATTAATTTAGCAGTGGGATTGATGGAACTGTTTGACATTGGATAATCTTTACCATGGAGAAATATCAAAGAATTTAATGCAAGATCATCATGCTGAACATCATGAAGAATCACCAACATGAATCTTAAAGATATTAACTAACTATATAGATGAAAAAATTATTTCACGATCCTTAACACGGGTTCAAATAAGGGGGGTACTGTCATCAGTTTCCATGAGAGTTAGATTAGCATAAAAGAGATAAACAAGTCAGGATAATGTGGTACTTTATTTTTGTGAGAAAGAATGTCATGTAGTCCCACATTGTGAAAATATCTATGAATTTGATAGCAAGAGAGATCCTCAAAATTAACCAATCTACCAGCAAAAATTTTCAATTTGTAGATATTACTATATTTTTTAAGTAAGGTAACATTTCAAAGATATTTTTCGTAGGGAACAGGTTTAGGAAAGCTACCCCTACTAACTCTAGCACGCTTTGGCACAGACATGATGACATAAATAGGTCTAAGTACCACAAGATAGGAACACAAAGCTAGATATGAAACCCTAGATGAAATTACAAAATTAGAGAGAGAGAGAGAGAGAGAGAGAGAGAGATAGAGAGAGAATGAGAATGAGAGAGAGAGTGTGAGCAGATGAGAGAAATAATAAAAGAGAGAAGGAGAGGGGGACAAGGAAGTGATGGGTGCGGGAATTGAGGAGTGATTTGGGGAAGTGGGGTAGGGGAGAGAGAGATACAGAGTGAAATACCGCAGGGAAAAACACAGTAAAAATACCCTTTTAAATAATTTAAAATATCAGAAAATTTATTCAAATAAATATTAAAAATTTCTGATCAAAATAATAGTAACAATAACAATAATGAATAATTAACTATTAACTTAAAAATTTTACCGAAACAATTAAATTTATAATTAGCAAAACTATTAAAATAATATAATACCGTATTTTTAAATAGTAGAAAATTCTAGAGAAATTGGAAAAATACAAATACTCTTTTAGAAAAATAATATTTAATACTTAAATACCAGAAAATTATTTAAACCCGTATTAGAAATTTACGGTCATTACATATATTAAAGGCACCATGGATGTTGGTTTAGTATTTCAGAAGAATAAGAAGATTGGGCAGGATTCTATTGGCTATGTGGATTCTGATTATGTTGGGAATCTTGACAAGCGTCGGTCTACTTCAGGATATGTATTTACATTGGCAGGAGCACCGGTATGTTGGAGATGTACACTTCAGTCTACAGTGGCTCTCTCTACTACAGAGGCGGAGTATATGGCAGTGACTGAAGCTGTTAATGAGCCTTTGTGGTTGTATGGATTATTGGAGGACTTGGGGATTGCACAGAAGACCATTCTGGTATATTGTGATAGCACGTCAGCTATCTATTTGGTAAAGAACCAGGTTTATCATGCACGCACGAAACATATTGATGTCAGATTCCACTTTGTTCGTGATGTTTTGGATGATGGAGACGTCATATTGGAGAAGATCCACACGAATGACAACTCTGCGGATATGTTAACCAAAGTTGTTTCAGGTGTGAAATTTGATCATTGTTTGGAGCTATTGAACATTCTTCAATGTTGAGGGACTTTGGAGGCCATTTGGGTGAACTACGTTCGGCTTGATTCCTTGGGCAAGAGGATACATAGGCAGTCTTGTCGAACCTCGCGTTCGTGCTTCAGTCGAACCTCGCGTTCATCCTTTTTTAACGAACCTCGCGTTCGTTCTTAAGTTGAACCTCGCGTTCATTTTTCAAACGAACCTCGCGTTCGTTCTCAAACGAACCTCGCGTTCGTGCATTGTTTGGAGCTATTGAACATTCTTCAATGTTGAGGGACTTTGGAGGCCATTTGGGTGAACTACGTTCGGCTTGATTCCTTGGGCAAGAGGATACATAGGCAGTCTTTTCGATGCAGCCGGTTGGATTAGTTGATATTGATGGGGTGAGATTGTTTGAGCTCTTATTTGGGTTCCCGACTTCTTTTGGATTGAGTCCATTGTCGAGGATTTACTCCACTTCGTATTGGACGCAACAAGTGGGACATTTTGTTGTTTTTTGTGTCGGCTCAGTTTTGAGAAAAAACTTCGTCGATGTGAAGAATTGAAGAAACGACGAAAAAGTTCAGGAAATTACACGCAGGAAACTGTTTGGAAGCTTGCCGGTCGACCGCGAGATCAGCTACGGTCGACCGACAAACGTGCACACTACATGGTGTATTTTCGGATTTCTGTGCGGTCCACCGCGGCGTCAAGTGCGGTCGATCGCGGACCCTGTAATCGATTTTACGAGTTTTCTGTCATTCTGTCCAGTCGATCGCGGAGTCAAGTACGGTCAACCGCGACTCAGGTCTGAGCCCGGGCTTTGTTTTCTGACCCGTTTTGTTTTGTGTTGATATATAACCCTAAACCTGATTAATTAGGGTTAGTTAAGGACGACTTTGAGCAGCTTTTGAGAGAGAATTGTGCATTCTTTAAGAGTGATTTTGTGAGAGATTTTGAGAGCTTTGTTCGAGGGTTTTTGGTGAGATTGTAAACCCTATTTGTATTCTCTTTATCTCTAATAGTAAAAACTACCTCCTCATTGCCCCATGGACGTAGGCAACTTGCCAAACCACGTAAAATTGGTTTGTCTTGTTGTGATTGTGATTTGTGCTTGTGTTTTAGTTGTGATCTTTCTCGTACTTGTTCGTGCACTATTTAGCTTTCGAGTTCCGCTGCGCACAACACCATCAACATACTCAAATCTTCAACCTGGGTAAACAAAGTAAGTACCTCTATTGGTACATAACTATTGATTTTCTATCACGATCTGTAAGATATGCCCATATCCTACACTTCGCACTATTAAGAGATTTGCTTGCTAATATTTTTATCTGTTGACTTGAGCACATGCATGCAGGGGGGTGGTGGATTTGCACCAGCTAAACAAAATCCCTAAGTTTATGGTCATACATTTAACTTCTGCACTGAAACTTCTCTTCTGTGTGTTATTGTATGCTTAGAATCTGCAAAGAAAGTGAGTGGTACTGAAAGAGGAAATTTTTCCTGATCATGAATAATACGAATAAGGAAAATTTTAGTGTGTATTGTAATGGCTATTATTTCTCCCTTCTTGTAACTAAAAAAAAAAGACAGTGTAAGGAACATAACCAAGTGATAAGAGCAAAAATATATATCCAACAAAGTTATGCTCACAACGCTTGTGAGCTAATAGATCCTAATTTTCAGGAGCGTAGTAAACAATAGTCATGTGAATGCTTCGTCCAGGGAGTCTCTATATTAGGGGAAGAGATAAGTGTACTACTCCCATTGTACTCATTTGGTACTCTCACTCACAAATGAGTGGGATCATGATGACTCACCACGTGAAAATTGTAATGGTGAGTCATCATGACCCCACTCATTTGTGAGTGGGAGTACCAAATGAGTACAATGGGAGTAGTACACTTATCACTTCTCATATATTAATAATGTTAACATGTATTTAATGTTATATATATAATGTTAAGTTCAATATTTAATGTTATTAAGATAGGTTATTATGGGAAAAGAACTAGTGCAAGCAATGTCCATAAGTCAGATATCAATATATTATCAACGTTACTTTCAGTTTCATGACAAGATCAGAGAAAGAAATTGCTTCTCTCTCAACTACAATTGCATTTTCCCCTGTTTTCAGTAAGAACGTTCCATGGAATTTTTACCAAATTCCAGCCATAGAAAGAAATTGCTCCTCTCTCAACTACAAATGCATTTTCCCAGGATTTTTGCAAGAACGTTCCACAGAATTTTAACCAAATTTCAGCCATAGACTAAATAGCTAAATATTTACAGCTTCAAGAAACACCTAAACTTTTGCTCAGCCCCATACAATCCAAACTTCATTATATTTTAGGCTTCGTCCAGCTGGTCGAGTCAACTTATTTGTTTGCGCATTCTTCATGAACAATCCTCGTCCTCACCAGAGCAATTCCCCTAGAGTTGCTCTGCCACCATCGAACTCTTACCCTTACCTGACAAATTCTCCTCCCTACATTGTTCAGCCACCCATCTCTCTACCACATTCTCTTCGACACTGAATTCATCCAAACACGACGGCGAACTCAATTCACTCCCATTCTTATTCACACTGAGAACCAACAACGTCTTCGCCACGCTCCCACATACTCTAAGCCCACATTGCAAATCGGACCACACTCTCAATCTCCCATTACTCCCATCATCGTCATCGCCTTCTGTCATAACAAGCACCACAAACTCCGAATGCACAAGGGCTGGATGATGTCGATACGCCACAAAATCCCCCCCATACTGAGTCCCCGGCCTCACTACCCAATTCTTCGCTCGTAAATGCTCGTAAGCCTTGTATAGCTCGGGGAATTTCGCTTTCTTGGATTTCATGTATTGCCACAATTGGACGTTGTTTACTTTGCATTCCTTGTCGGTTATGATGGTGAGAGCTTGAAGGTTTTGGTTCAAGAACAAGGCCTCTTCTAGAGTGAACTGAAACCATAGTTCGGTTTTGTTGTGGGTTGTGATTTCTCGGCCGAAGCATGAGCGATTGAGCAAGTCCGCGAGGTCTGGCGTAGCTTCGAATAGTGCAGTTTGGTCGACGAGCATTGCTTGTGCTTCGGATTTTGAGAGGGCGGATTGGAGCTGGGCGACGATTTGCGACATGGGATTGGATTTGGCAATGGATGCGTTGTTCTTTCCCTTCCATCTTGTTCCCATCTTCATATCTTCCACCTGCTCATCACATTCGACGTTTCGGTATTTCAACAAACAGTTGGCAGGCTAGAGTTCGTGAAGGAAAAATAAAAACACCGCGAAACTGACGCTCGATTAGATTCTGGTGACAAGAGTATTTACCTTAACTGAGTGATGGGAAACCGTACAAACCTTAAGATGAAGAATATGGAGTCTCTTTACTTTTTTCTTTTTTTGGTGCGTGTTTGTGCCCTGGATTGTGCTCGATGGAGGGGAAGACCTTGTCGCAACTATAAGAATGAAAGTATTCCGTTTGTTTGAGCACAACCACTACTTGTGCCAAACCGCTTGAAATTATACCAAATCAAAAATGAAGAAATTTTCTAAATAAACTCATTCATATTTTTTTTTTCTAAAAATAGACTCCCTTGAGTTTTATTTACAAAAATAGACCTATTTTATTTTAATCTGGTTCTTAAATAGTCTGGGTTGCCAACCCCGACTATTTAGGAGGTTGTAAACCCCAATTATAACCCTACACCCTAACATTCTATCACTAAATAGTCGGGGTTGACAACCCCGACTATTTAGAAACCGGATTAAGACAAAATTGGTCTTTTTTTGTAAATAAAACTCAATAGGATCTATTTTTAGAAAAAAAAATTTATGAATGGGTTTGTTTAGAAATTTTCTTCAAATAAAAATTAAGAACAAAAAATCCGCCGGGTTTTTGAGGCGCTATAGGCACTGTTTGGCAACAAGAGATTGTGTCTTATTGACTTGGTCAATAAGCTAGTAGAGCTGTTTGGTGACCAAAAATAGGAGGAGATTATTTTGGAGATTGTGTCTTTTGCAAGTAGCTTTTGAAAAGCTACCTCGAGTAGCGTTTGTCTTTGGGAAGGAGCTGCCATTTTTTTTTGTTTTTGCCCCTAATAATTCTAATTTTATATCAATAATATTGCATGTCCTTTTTAGTCGTTTAATAAATTTAAGCTAGTTGTACAGCTACTTTTGCCAAACAGCTCTAGTCAATCAGCTAGCTACACAGCTATCAGATTTCAGCTACAGCTTAACAGCTTTCAGCTATAATCTCGCAGCTTTCAGCTAGTTTTGTCAAACAGAGCCTTAATAGATTAAAATTATAGTTTGAGGGCTTTTTAGAGAAGTAAGATAAAACTTAAGGGGCTTTTCAGGCTTTGACTAACTGAGTTCGCAAAATCTCCATCTAATATCCCCTGTACAAATTTTATGCTCCAGGCTGCACCTTGTTCTTCCCAATTTGCCCTCCTGTAGGAGGATCTTTATGAGTGCTCGCATGATTTTCCACCATCGCTAGCTCTTGCTTTATAAAATACTAGTACTCCTTTATGAATGCGTGACATACTACATATTCATGTGAAATTAAAAAAAAAATGCTATTAACCTCTGTGGATATAAATACATTAATGTTTAAGGGACCCAAATAGGGGACCCAAGGCATGTGACATGTGAGGTATCACCATCCGGTTGCATGATGCACTGTTTATATAAACAGTACATCATGCAACCGGATGGTGACACCTCACATGTCCCATGCCTTGGATCCCCTATTTGGGTCCCTGTAGCAACACCCATATAAATAGATGTATAAAAACATTTATTGTGATAAGTGTCTCAAGTCTAATGTACTTCACAAATTAATGGATTATATAAAAGCCTATTCTCCCACAGATATATGCGTCAACCAAATCTGTATAATTTCGTTTGTTGTAAAATATGGCACATACTAATTTGAACGGATCATTTGACGTGTCAAATATGCCCTTCATAGATATCCGAGAACTCCGTGCCAAAGATTTTCTTTGTCCCGTAAATTCATAAGTTAAAAGAAGTTACTTTTCACAAATGTATTATGTTTCAATTTTAAGTATTTTGAGATTTGCAATGGAAAATAAGTATTGTTGTCAAAACTAAAACAAAATCATATTCTAGTTGAGATATAAAGAGCATGGATTCTTAACTGAAGTATGCATTGTTTTTTTTTTTGGAATTTAACACTGATTATGGAATCAAAATTATCTTGTGTCATTCGCTCACTGCCGTTAACACCGTTAACAATAAAATCCATTTTCAAGATGCAAAAACATGACATTTTCTAGTTTTTTAAAATGTAGACTTCTAATCAGGTTTTGTAATAAAATAACGAAATTGAAGAGGGAATAAAAAATTCAGTGGCAAATTTCAAAGGAAGAGGACTGAACTTGGCAAATAAGGAAGTCCTTAAATTTTTTTTTGTTGACAAGGGAACCTTGGTCAGTACCTCCACTTAAACTCCCTTTGGAGTCCGCCGCACCCCGGTTCGAATCCCCCCAGTCCCCAACAATCCGCAAGGAGCTACCCCTTAAGTACCAGGGGGCTCATCCCCAGCACATGGGCGAGCGGTGTGTGGACCGGGCGAGACGCGAACCAGAGACAGCGGGTCGAGCCGCTACTGACCAAGTAACCAGCCCCCCCCCCACCCCCTAAAGCCAGAGGGACCAGGTGAATGTGGCAACAAGGATTCGATCTCCTGACCAACGGGCACGAAGCCTGGGAGAATCTCTCTTCCCATGGGGAGCTGACCAGGAGACCCATCTTGCGGGGGTAGGAAGTCCTTAAATTATTATAAAAGAGGGATACATTACTAATACCTTAAAAATCTTTCGTAATCTAAGGGCTTGTTTGGATTGAGGGGAATAAGGGAGAAGGGAAGTTAGAGGAACCATTCACCTTGTTTGGGAATATTTAGGAGGTGAAATTATTCACCCTAGTTCCCCTTGATTCACCCCTTAATAGTATAAAATTTGTTATCCCCCAAATTGGGGTGTAACCAAGAGGAAGGAAACTTCATTCCCTTCCCTTCCATTCTCTCACCTAGTTTCTCTTAACTTCCGGAATCAAAGGAGAGAGAGAGAGTCAGAGAGAGAGAGAGAGAGAGAGAGAGAGAGAGAGAGAGGAGGGAGAGGGACGGTCTGTTTGCCTCTTTTTTTAAACATGGGCTAGTTTTTGTAATTTCCGAATATGTAGAGATTTGGAAATGTGGGGAGGGATGATGGTAGTTACAAAGTAGTTTTTATTTTTGCGTATTTACTACTTCGCCCTTTCCATTCATTTTAAAGTATTATTAGTTTTGGGGACATTACTTGGAATTATTCAAATTTGTGATGCACAAAGGGCATATGACCATAAAAAAAAAAAAAAAACTGGATCAAAATGTGGCTTTTCTTTATTAATACTTTACTAGTAGAATCCAGGCCCGTGCCCAGAACGGTTGTTATGCTGTTTAGGCCCTACAATAACACTTTGGGCTTATTTTTTTATAAAATGGGCCTTACTAAACGTTTCAGTGTAATGAGAGACTTAAGAAGATCCCTTTGTGATCTGTGATTGATCTTTTTAGTTAATCTCTTCTAAAATATTGCTAAAATTACTTGATTTGGTTGATTGGACTCTTCGCCTGACTTGTATTTCCAAAACTTTTGCCTTTACTTTTTGGAGGAGAATCTCCTTACAGAATACCAAGGATTTATTTTTTCTTAATCTGTATCTCATTTTAAATTCAAGAGAATATTGTGGGCAACTCTTAAAAATTCTTTGAGCTGAGTCCGTGATAGATAGGTAAAGACAAGACATCTGTAAGCTCACGTGCGATTCATAGTTGTCCAAATTAACTTGATGAAAGTTGAAGCAGCGTGTTTTCATCCCCAAATATTGTAAATGGTAAGCAGTCTTTATCGTCTTTAAGCATAAGACCACATCGCATGGATTTTGACAGAATCAACGATTCAATGAATGTGTTAAAAGCCTATAGCCTTTTTCCTACATACGAATCAAGAAGAAAAAATAATGTTATCTTGGTCTCATTTTGATTTGTTATTACTAAATTATCTATATGGAAATCACTGATCTTGTGGAGGCCTTTTAAAAAAAATCAGGTTCTATGGTGATTTTCATAGGCTAAGTTTCAGAAAACCCCTCATTATTTTGGATGATTATTAGATAACAGCTTGTAATTTTCATGGTATCTGAAACCCGCCTAAGTTTTGTGGAAGTTGTGAGTTGTCCAGCGGGCAAAAGATGAATGTGTGAATTTGATGTGGCAAGTGGGGACCACATGCATTGATGAAAGCGCGTGGAAGGGAAGTTCACGTGAACAAGAATTTGTGTGCAAAGAAATTGTTTAGCGGACAAAAGCAAGGCCCACCCGAAAACAACTAGGTAGCTATATATAGCTTCGGATTGCCTAGGGTTTAGGTGTGCGAAGGAGGGTGTGCAGCCGGCTTCTTTTCTTTGGCGGTGAAAGCGAAGAGCAAAGGGGGCACAACAAGAACTTGGGCAGCGTGAAAAAGGACGGCGCGTGAATTGAGGGCTGCGCAGGTTTCTTTTTGGACGGCGTGCTGTTCTGAAGGCTGTTTGTTGAGAGTCTTTTGTGTGAGAGATTGGAGAGTTAATTTGAGGGTTTAGTTTGTGAGATTGTAAACCCAGTTGTATTCTCTCCCTCTAATAGTAGATCTCCCCCCTTCTTGCCCCGTGGACGTAGGCAGTTTGCCGAACCACGTAAAATTGGTTTGTTTGAGTTTGTGGCCATTGTAATAGTTTTTAGGATCCATCGGCGTGCAGTCCTAGAGCTGACGAGAGGAAGAGCTAATATCCCACTTTGATGAGATATTAGGTTTCAGATTCTTGTTCCCTTTGAGAAACAAGAATTCTTATCGATCTTTCTCTCTTATTGTGCACCAGAAACTCTGCCGAAATTTTCGCTGCGCACAACAAGTGGTATCAGAGCCCAGATTCCAGATTTAGGGTTTGGTTGGAGGAGTAGATCAATTTGGAGGCTTGTTTAGGGCTTCGTTGGTGATAAACGTGAGATCTTTTGGTAAAGACTCTATCTTTTTAGTTTTGGATCTATTCTTTGTTCGTTGGTGCGTAAGATGTCGAGGAAAGAAGGTGCTTCGGGTGTCAAGGGTGGTGCTTCTGGTGCGAAGACCATTCGGAGTTTGAATATCCACTCTATGAAGATAGATGTGGAGAAGTTTAATGGCACAAACAATTTTGGATTATGGAGATGCGAGGTTTTGGATGCGCTGAACGCGCAGAATTTGGAGGATACTTTGGAGTTAGATGGCAAGCCAGATGAGATTGAAGAAAAGGTTTGGAAGAAGATGAATCGAACGGCGTGTGGTGTGATTAGATCTTGTTTGACTCAAGATCTAAAATATGATGTGATGAATGAGACTTCTGCAAAGAAGATTTGGGAGATTCTCGAAAGCAAGTATTTGACCAAGAGTGTGAAAAATCGCTTGCATTTGAAGAGGAGGCTTTATCGTTTCCAATTGAAGAAGGGAACCTCCATTAGAGATCACATGAACCACTACATGAAGCTTCTTGCAGATTTGGCGAACGTGGATGTTATAATTGAAGATAAGGACAAGGCGTTGTTGCTATTGAGTTCCTTGCCCGACGAGGAATATGAGACCTTCGTCCTTACTCTTATTAATGGGAAGACATCTCTTTCGTATAGTGAGGTCACTGCTGTACTGGTGAATTATCAGCTTCGGAAGAAGGATAAGGAGACTTCGACTGAGTCGGTAGCAGAGGCGTTGGTCGCAAGAGGGAAGAATCCGAACCGGAAGAATTGGAAGTCACAGTCTAGAGTAGGGCATCCTACAATTGGAAAAGATCAGTGTGCTTGGTGCAAGGAGACTGGTCATTGGAAGAAAGACTGCCCAAATCCCGACGAATGGATGAAGAATAAGCAGAAGGGAAAAGGAAAGCAACCATCATCAGAAGCAAACATCGTATCGGATGGTAATAATTCTGACTATTCTATTTATTCGCTTTCTATCAGTCCTACAGATAGCTATTTGGAGGAATCTGAATGGATGTTGGATAGTAGTGCGACCTATCATGTGTTCCCTAGAAGGGAATGGTTCTCCAGTTTTGAGAAGCTGGTGGACAGTGGTGTGGTGTACATGGCTGATAACCGTGCATGCCAGATCCTTGGGATAGGAAGAATTCGCATCAAGATGTTTGACGGGACTGTTAGAGAGTTAAACGATGTGAGATATGTTCCTTCTTTAAGGAAGAACTTGATCTCGATTGGAGCTTTGGTTGGAGAGGGTCTGAAGGTTCGTGTTGAGGACATGGTTCTCGAGATTGTGAGAGACTCTCGTATTTTGATGAAGGGCGTCATGAGAAATAACCTGTATTACTTGACTGGAGGTATAGTGGCAGGTAGAGAGCTGACAACTTCTGTTGATTCGACTAGACTGCGGCATTTGGAGCTTGGCCATTCCAGTATTGATTCCCCGCATAGATTGAAAGAGGGTACAAAGACCTGCAGTTTGAAGTCCAGTGAACATGTTGATGTGAGCAAGAAGACCGAGATGAAGTGTGGCACCTCTATTCACCGTGTTAAGGGTTGTTCTGGAGGAGTTCACGTGGACGTTTGGGGGCCTTCCAAGGGGCCATCATTGGGGGTAATAGGCATTTGGTTTCCTTTGTTGGTGGCTGTTCTAGGCGTGTTTGGGTTGCAACCAAATCCCCTTTGGAGAAAGTCCTAGTAGTATCCAACAGATTGAAGAAGTGTGTAATAGACAGAAAGGTGAAGGTACTCCATTCTGGTGGGAGGTACAAGATGGACCTATTTCTGTATTGTAGCCGAGCTCACGGCATTTCGAGACACTTCGTTGAAAAGAAAATCTTGGGGTAACTAAATAGGGTGACAAATTTGGAGAACCGTGCCTTGCTGGAGGAGGATCGGTGTTTGTTGTCAAGCAATGGTTTGCAGAAGAGGTTCTGGACTGAGGCTTCGACATATTTGGGTTATCCTATTAAAGAGTTGTCAACTGTTGTGATTGGAGGTAAAACTCCATTGGAAGATAGGTCTGGTAGTGTCACTTTGGTTGAGGCTTCGATGAGGAAGCCAATTGACTCTCAGCAGGTGGAGAGTTTTGGACAGACCTTAGATGTATCACAGCGGGTGGAGAGTGATGCTACTCCACATTAGGTGGAGATTTTTCCACATACTCCAGGTCATTCTGCATTGGTTGGGATTCCAGCTGAGGTGACACAGCGCGGGAGTCATTTGGATTCGGATGCGGATGATGAGTTGGGTTTTGTTTCGAGTGCAGCTGATAGATATAGTTTGGATATGGTCATTGGTTCACCTCAGGTGGAGGTGTTTGAGGCCATTGGAGGTGCTATCAGTCGCAGACTTGATCGTGATGTTGGAGAAGGGTTGCGAACTCTTCTATTAGATTGAGGCCTTTGGAGGTCATTTGGGTGAACTACGTTCAGCTTGATTCCTTGGGCAAGAGGATACGTAGGCAATCTTTATGATGCAGCCGAGTTTTGGATTTTGATGGGGGTGAGATCGATTTGGTGAGTTGATACTGATATTTGGAGAGTTTTTGCACTCTCATTTGGGTTCTCGACTTGTTATGGATTGAGTCTGTTGTCGTGAATTGTTTCACTTCGTACTGGACACAACAAGTGAGACATTTGATATGATCGGTGTCGGCTCAGTTTTGAGAAAACTTCGCCGAGGTGGAGAATTGTGGAAGTTGTGAGTTGTCCAGCGGGCAAAAGATGAATGTGTGAATTTGATGTGGCAAGTGGGGACCACATGCATTGATAAAAGCGCATGGAAGGGAAGTTCACGTGAACAAGAATTTGTGTGAAAAGAAATTGTTCAGCGGACAAAAGCAAGGCCCACCCGAAAACAACTAGGTAGCTATATATAGCTTCGGATTGCCTAAGGTTTAGGTGTGCGAAGGAGGGTGTGCAGCCGGCTTCTTATCTTTGGCGGTGAAAGCGAAGAACAAAGGGGGCACAACAAGAACTTGGGCAGCGTGAAAAAGGACGGCGCGTGAATTGAGGGCTGCGCAGGTTTCTTTTTGGACGGCGTGCTGTTCTGAAGGCTGTTTGTTGAGAGTCTTTTGTGTGAGAGATTGGAGAGTTAATTTGAGGGTTTAGTTTGTGAGATTGTAAACCCAGTTGTATTCTCTCCCTCTAATAGTAGATCTCCCCCCTCCTTGCCCCGTGGACGTAGGCAGTTTGCCGAATCACGTAAAATTAGTTTGTTTGAGTTTGTGGCCATTGTAATAGTTTTTAGGATCCCTCGACGCGCAGTCCTAGAGCTGACGAGAGGAAGAGCTAATATCTCACTTTGATGAGATATTAGGCTTCCGATTCTTGTTCCCTTTGAGAAATAAGAATTCTTATCGATCTTTCTCTCTTATTGTGCACCAGAAACTCTGCCGAAATTTCCACTGCGCACAACAAGTTTAGGGGTTATCGGAAAACACGTGTCAACTTACAAATTTTTTATAAAACCCCCCTTAGTGACATTAAGTATAAATTTTCACATCCGTAGGTTGAAGTATGCAAGGGAACAATTTTACCAGTGATAATTGTGGTCCACGCTTTTATGAGTGTTTTCTAAATAAGTTTGAAAGTTGAAGGTGGTTTTCTGATAACTCCTAAAGTTAAGGGGGTTTTCTGATATTTTGAAGGTTATGGGGGTTTATTTGATAATCATCCAATGTTAAGCATTTTATTTGTTTATTTACTTTTTTGGTTGAAATTTAGCCTTATTCATTTTTTAAAAATATTCCTAGTGTAAATATTTTCTGCTTCAGCCTATACCTTTCTTTCCCTCCACTTTGCCTTTTTAGGGCTTGATGATCACTTGCTTGATTTTCCCCCATTGCTCTTGCTTTCCTGGTAGAGTAGAACGGTACAGAATTTTTCGTAGTTCTTGTGGGTTGATTTGGAGCAGGTTTCATTTGTCACGGTAGCTAGACTTTCAAACATTCACAAAGTGTAGCAACCCTTGAAAATCTTTTACAAAATTCACATCTTTGCTTTTATATATCTATCAAGAATATATGTTATGTCGATATAAAAGAAAGAGGGAAAATTCTTCTTCTATTTTCTTATAGATTATGACGAAGCGACAATACTCTCATACTTATGCCCCCCCCACACACACGTTTTTTTTTGAAAAGGCAGGTAGGACGACCTAACCATGCAAGTCCTCAACAACACTGTCTTAAAAACAGATCAAAATTAAGAGGACAAAAGACAACCGACTTAGTTAGGGCATGAGCAATATCATTACCAGTGCGCCTTACATAAGAAACTTTAATTTAGAGTTTCCAATTGCAGACAAACCAATGCGAACTTCATCGGTAATAGAAGCTATGGAAGCAAAAGGAGAAGATGAGTACACCAAGGAGACAACCCTTACAGAGTCAATCTCCACCAGCGAAATCCTCAAGTTCATACGCCGAACAAAGCGAATGCCTTCTAGGACAACCAACAGCTCCGCATGATCTACAGACATAGGACCCCCTGAGCCCCATAGAGTAGCAACCAATCACATGACCATGGTTATCCCAAATAACACATCCCAACCCAATAATATTTCCTTTTAGAGGAACATCAACATCTGTGTTGAGCTTCAGCAGACCAGGAGCAGGGGGATACAAAGCAGAATGCCATTTGGAAGGGATAGTAATGTTACGAGAGAGGCCTCTAACCCTATCCCCTTCCTCCACAAAATAGAGAATTCAAGTCACTAAGACCGAAGCCTCCCTAACACCACCACCATGAGAACACATATTCCTTTCCCCCCATATAAACCACATGGTCGTGAAAGCCAAAGCTAGAAAGTCCATAGGGCAAACAAAGGTGTGATGGAAAAGAAAATCTCCACAAGACGTACCTCGAAAGCCATCAACCACTTCCCAAAGATCTAAGGACTCCCACACTAAATGAGTAAAGGAGCAGACGATGAAGATATGAATGGTAGTTTCAAAGGTAGCAGAACAAAGGCAGCAACTAAGGGACACAAAGATCCCCCTGCGAGATAAACCAGCTGAGGTGGGGAGAGCATCATAGAACAAACACCAAAGAAATACTCTAATCTTTGGTGGGATCTCCGCCTCGCAGATCAAGGACCACCACTTCGTTACCCTAGAATCGAAGGTGGAAGCACCATCAGACATAGTGTGGCGAAGAAGTCAGTATCCACTCTTGACCGTGTAGCACCCCTTCTCCTCATAATGCCAAATGAACCTGTCAGGGACATGAGAAGGGGGCAGTGGGATAAGTGAAATGTCTTCCCGATCCACCTGCCAAAAAGAGTTAGCAATCAAATCATGATCCCAAGTACCCGAAGCATAGATCAGCTCAACCACCCTCCTGGAAGATCGGAGAAGTGATTGGCCTAAAATAAAAGGGCCTTTGGGATCCATGGGTCAGTACTGATAGAGACACTCTAGCCATCACCTATCCTCCATCTCATACCTCGGGCTAGGAGCTCTTGTCCCCAGATAATGCTCTATCATAAATAAGAACAGTCAGGATCGATACCAGCTAAAAGGAAGTTCGAGTCTCTAAAATACTTCCCTTTCAAAACCCTACTAGATAGAGAAGAAGGGTCCTGAATGATCCTCTATGCTTGCTTAGCTACCAGTGCCTGATTAAAATATGTAGATCTCTAAATCCCAGATCACCCTCTGACTTTGCTCGACACACCTTCTGCCACTTAACCCAATGAATCTTTCTCTCACCAGAAATTGATCCCCACCAGAATCTCATAATGATAGACTCAATCTCCCTGCACAAAGAAATGAGAATGTGGAAGATACTCATCACATAGCATGCACTCGCCTGCAAAATAGCTTTCACCATAACCTCTCGCCACTAGCTGAGAAAAGAGTCCTCCTCCAATCTTGGATTCTTTTCCAAACCGAGTCTCTGATTGAATCAAAAGTCTGACAATGGCTTCTTCCGACCACCAAAGGGAGACCTAAGTACCGATCATGTGACTGGGCCCTATCAAGCCCCAAGATAGAGAAAATAAAGGCCCTAGTATCCTCATCTACACAGAGGCTAAAGGTAATGACAGACTTCTGAAAGTTGACTTTCTAATCGGTTGCAGCCTCATATAGTAGCAGAGTATTCTGGACAGCCTGTGCAGCAGCCTGGTAAGTTTGAAGAAAAACCAAAGAGTCATCTACAAAGAACAAGTGAGAAATCCTTAGCCCCAACTGAGAACAAGATAACCCTCTAATGCACCTATTCTCCTCCTGTCTGATGATCAATGCCGAGACAGCTTCTGTACATAGAAGAAACAAATATGGAGATAATGGGCATCCCTATCGCAGACCACGAGTAGGAGTGACCTGATCCACAATCTGCCCATTGAGACAGAAAGAGAGTGAGGAAGTGGAGATACAATCAAAAAAGAGATGCCTCCAATGATTTGGAAAGCCCATGACCTGAAGGGTTCTGTCAATAAACCCACATTCCACTCTGTCATATACCTTACTCATATTCAACTTCA